TTTGAAGCCAACTGTTTGTACACCGAAGAATGTTGTTCTTGCGGGGGGCCTTGGTCGCTCTCTCCTTTTTGGTGGAGCTACTAGGTTGCAGGCCATCGTTAGGGTTGGAGGCCATTGCTATTGGGTTCCTTTTGAATGTTGCTATTAGGTGTCTTTGTTCATTCTGAGTGATTCATCCTTTGGCCATCTCACAACCAAGGCTGGTGCTGTCATTGGCTGCGAGAGGTCATGAGACGGCATCAGGAAGGAGCTGTGATTTGCTGCGCTGTCTCCAATATTTACCACGCAGACCCTTGGATGTGTGCAAAATGTTGCCAAGAGCGTTCTGAATTCAATTCAAAGGTATCATGTCAAAGAAACTCTTGTCCAGACGAATGTCTACACTTTACAGACTCTTTGGAGTTGAACAGATTGAAGCACCATAGTGAAGAGAGAAAAACATGCAGCTACTAGGGGCTCCTGGCCTTACTACTAGGAGCAAGAAGCCACTACAAACTCCTGGTATCGCTACTAGGAGCAAGGACGCTACTGATTATCCTTTGCCTTTGCCAAGGATTGGGTGGAAGAGTTTGGTGCTGGCTCGTCAGAGCTCAGTGATTTGGCCGCTGAGAAGTTTGACCTCAAGCCGAGCCTTGGCAAAAAGCACGTTTTTGTTTGCCTAAGTCATTTCTAGTAGAAACAAAGTTCGCTACTAGTAACAAGTGCATCGCTAGTAGTAACAAGTGCCTTACTAGTAGTAACAAGAATCTAGTAGAACCATTAGGTTGGAGGCCATCGCTATTTGGGAGGTCATCCGGACAAACCACGCACCATGGGGGTCACACGGGGTCACATCATTTTCCATGTTTATCGAAGCTCGTCCGATCGCTCCGTTCGTAGCGATGCCAGGAGCCCCTAGTAGCTTCTTGTTACTAGTAAGGCACTTGTTACTAGTAGCGTGGCACTTGTTACTACTAGCTTCTTGTTACTACTAGTAAGGCACTTGTTCCTAGTAGCGTCCTTGTTACTAGTAAGGCACTTGTTACTAGAAGCGATGCACTTGTTCCTAGTAGCGTCCTTGCTCCTAGTAGCGTGGCCCTTTGCTCCTAGTAGCGTCCTCTTGCTTCTTGGTTGTTCCATATTGCTGTGGTGTGAAACCCTACGTCTTCCATCCAAGGGAGCGCTTTCGGAATGGCAGGCCGCCTGGCTGGGGAGAAGGCGAAATAGAGATCTCCAACGGCCAGAAATTCTCGCGTGTGGCACCTGTGCATCCTCACACACAGAAGCCTTTGGGGGAAGGATGCCGTTGGGAGCGTCAAGCGCTCGATGGCTTGGACTTTCCAGTTTATGCATTTTTTATGCCCTGAATAGAGGCCGATAGTAGCGTCCTTGCTCCTAGTAGCCCTGAATAGAGGCCGCCAAAGAACATCGGTCAGTCTCACTTTGCATCTCTAAGCCCTGAAAGGGCATCCCAGCCGACAGAAACTCCAGAGGCAAAATATGGTTTCAGCGAGCACGAACTGTTCGGGATGAATCAGCTTCAAAACCAGCCATGTGTCTTAGGGGTTGACGAACGAGGGGCCCATTGCTTCGACATGGTTCTCGCTCACCGCATTAATCGATGTCACCACTTCCAAGGGCCACTCAAGCGAGAAGGTTGAAGAAAGCTACGTAATTAGTCTAAAGAACGTGGAAAGTCTCCCCGTAGTAGTAGTAATAGTAGCGTCCTTGCTCCTAGTAGCGATGCCAGGAGCCCCTAGTGGCTTCTTGCTCCTAGTAGTAAGGCCAGGAGCCCCTAGTAGCGTCCTTGTTACTAATTGCGATGGCCTCCAACCTAAGAGTGATGGCCTCCCCGGTGAAAGATGAACATGGTGCTGTCCAGCCAAGGACAGTCCTAGGCTGACAAACGTTGGCCAGGGCTTCGGTACAGCTGACCGACACCACAGATATGGCAGGTGTCTTGCACAGCTGAAGAGTGTTGTGCAGGGAGAGAGAATATTTCCAAAGAAACTGAATCGGCCTTACAGCATCTTACAGATAGGGTTCAGGACTAGCACAGGAAGGAGGCGCTGGAAGAATGAAAGGCAAGAAGAAAAGAAGGTCCAAAGAAAGAAAGAAACAAGAGCTAAAAGGAAACATGCATAGATACATTTATCCTAATATATACATAGTTATTTGTAGAAAGGGCGAGTGCCTTCCTAATCCAACAATTCTTTGATTAACCTTCCTATTTAGACGACAATGTGTGTACTTTAGACGAAACATGGACCTCTCACTGGACCCTTGCCGTGGCACACACAGATCAATTTGTTCTCCAGTGAAGTCCCAACTCTCAAAGCACTCTGGTAAAAGGATGGCTTAGATCAGATCAGATCTGTACTAGATTGGAGGCTGGAGGCCATCCGATCTGGCAAATTAGCACGAGAGGCGATCAAAACTTTGGCGATCTGAGGCTACGTGCATCCAAGACAACATCCTCGGCATCTCAGGACTTTTTAACTTCCGGTGGGTAAGAGGATGCAAAAGGTTGTTGGAATGACTCGGGAAGAAATTACTCAGCTTTGAGGCCGTTGATCCTTTCAATCAGCTTTGAGCTTGCATTTGCAGGTTTCACTTTCCAATGTCGCTGGGACATGTTTGATGTGCGGATGGATCCCTGAGGACCGGCGCTGAGGATGGCACATTCTGACATTTGATGATCAAAAAGGCTTAGAATGGCTTACTCTATTCCCAAAATAAGCCAAGCAGAGATTTTGGTGAGCACGAGAAACCATGAAAAGCTACGGGAACTTTAAAAGAATCACACATGAAAGCAACAAATGTGGTGAAAAAGGAAGGCAACAACCAGCGATGGCCTCCAACCTACTAGCGATGGCACCCCAGTAGCAATGGCCTCCAACCTAATAGCGATGGCCTCCGTTTTGTCTCAAGAGGTCTCTCGTTCTCGTCATATTGGTCCGACAGGTTGACAGCAGTTTGGACGCTCTGAAGCGGCTGAGATGGCGCGACGGTGCTCAACAATGCTCGACGACTGGGGGAAAAAAGAATGCGTGAAAGCTTCTTGTTACTACTAGTAAGGCACTTGTTTCTAGAAGCGAGGCACCTGTTACTAGTAGCGTGGCACTTGTTTCTAGAAGCGTCTTGTCCAAGATCCAAATAGTGACGGAAAAGCAAGAAAAAGTGGATGCGTGGAACAGCAAGGCCCTTAAGGCGCTCTTTTCGCCGGTTGGAGTGGGGCGAACTGGATTTAAACGGTTTTCAACTTGCTCTCACAAATGGTGCAGGAATCGTTTCATCGGCTGCTTGAGCAGATTTGAGCAGTTGTGGCAACATGCACTGCAACACCATTTGATGTTGCTGATGTGGTGTAGTCACTCAAGAACGTGTTTGCCACGTGCAGAATCAGATGCAGACTTTGCGGCTTTTCTGTGCCTTTTGCTCTCAGGTTACTACCCATCACGGCTGGGAGGTGCACTCTATGGTTCGACGGTTGGCGGATGAGATCTATTGTTTCTATTGGCTTCTTGTTATTACTAGTAAGGCACTTGTTACTAGTAGCGATGCACTTGGTTCTACTAGTTTCTTTTCCTAAAAACATCCGTGTGCATTGCTTTGCTTCTCGATTCTTTGTTGAGCCTTTTATTTGTCAAGAAGTCATCATCCTTGGGTGTTCTACAATCATGAAGGGACTTGAACCCATGGGATCCCGTGCAGTCCAGGATTGTGTGACACATTCTGTGACCGCAACGACACGTGCTCCAACAATGGACAGTGCAACGAGCCGGAGTCACAGGCAAAGACATGCAGCAGCCTACTGCACGATAGAACTTCGATAAAGCCAACGGTTTTCCTTAGCGACTGGATGTTGTTTGTTGAATGTTGACTATCAACATCAGGGCGAAGAATCAGCTGAGGCGTGGAAGGTGCCATTGTGACCTTTGGTATTTTGGCGACAGCTGTGACTGCACCTGCAATGGTTTGGGGACCCAAGGATGTTTTTGTGGCTGGTGAACAGCATGTCTTTCAAAAGAATGGCTGTTATCCAGTTGAACTTCAAGTCTTAAAGGTGTGCGAAAGATTGAGCGATACTTTGGCTGCTCTATGGAGGCCATCGCTAGTAGGTTGGAGGCCATCGCTATTAAGTTCCTTTTGCTTGTTTAACTACTATGTTTAACTGTTTGTTTTTTCCATTGTTGTGCGAATTAGGTCGTGGAATTTGTGAAGCCGATGGGTCGTGTACTTGCGACGCCCGTTGGTCCGGAGATCGTTGTGCGGGAGGCTCAGGGTATCAACACTGACACCAGTGACACAGTGAAAATGTGTTTTTTGTAAACAATCTAATAGCAGATCAACCGTATAGCGATGGCCTCCACCCTAGTAGCGATGGCCTCTAATCTAAGAGAAAGAAAGACACTGTGCATTTGTTTTTACCTTTTTTCATATGTTTGTTGTTTAAAGACTGGGGGGATAGGCCGCTAAGAGGAAGAGATAGCTAGTTAGCTTCTAGGTAGGACACAGGATAGCTCACGCTTCCTTGAAGAAGCGCCGCACTAGTGATTTGGTTCCTAATTCTTTTGGGAAACTTAAATGCACTGTGAATCTCTGAAGGCAGATCAACCTACTAGCAAAACTGCAATACAGTCCAAGGTGACTCAACTGAGTACCTGTGCAAAGTGACGCATTGCTCCGCTTCCACTTTCCTTCACAATGTGGTTGGTTGATTCTGGTCAACTCACTAGGTCCTCGAGAACCTGCAGAGGTGTGTTTCAACAATGGTTTTCTTGTGAATATTGAAAACGGAAAAATAGAAAAGACATATCAAAAGTATAAGGAGCAAAAAGGGAAGAGACGAAAGAAACGGGAGCGAAAGAGTCTGTGAACTGCCATAAACTTCTAAAGAACAAAGCATATAGGGAAGAAAGGTCTGAAGAAAAGAACGACATCGAGAAAGAATATGATATAGAAAACACAAGGAAGAAAGGTTCGTTTCAGGCCTCCAACCTAATAGAATAAATGGACATCAAAAGGAAGATAGGTTCTAAAGAAGATTCTGTTTGCCTTTTGTATGTAGGGGCAATGGCATGGAAGACCGAGTTGGCGATTACAAAGAATGTTGACATGGGTTATGTGTTTTTGTTTCAAAAAAAACTGTTTGACATATGACATATGTGTATTGTTGTTTTCTTTGGAGATTCAAACTTTAGACCTGTTTTTCTTGCTGTCTTTTTCTACTTCCTTTCTTCCCAGTTCAAGCACCATATCAACTAGTTGAGGCAGTACAGCCTTGTCTATATTTCCGACAGAGTCCATCCTTTACCCGAGGAGACACAAGTCACAGGGGATGCCGTCGAAGAGTGCGGCAACTGCAGCATGCGTGGCATTTGTGTGGAAAGTGCCTTGCCTGCTTGAGAGACTGAGAAGTCTTGAGAAACCGATTCTTGTGGATTTGTGACGTGATTTGATTTGTTCGATATTTAATCATTGATTCGATGCGCCTCAGTCCACATTTGTGCCGAAGACATCCCTCGTTTTTGAGGTGGTGATGATTTTGCCTGCCGATGCCTGGACAGCTTCTTTGGGGAGATTTGTGTCAGGGGCTCTCAGCAGACAGTCGATGCATGACGACGAGCGTCAATGACACAAAATTTGCAACGATGACTGCGACTGCAACGATCATTGTAACCTACTGCAACGATGAGGATTGTAACAGAAAAAGTTTGCAACGAAAACGTCTTCCTTGCAGCGCGTTCCTTTCAATTCCCCCTTTGGGCTCAAGGCGGGTCTGGGGTTGGGGAACTCCAAACTCCCCGCTCTCCGCTCTCCATGGCTTTTTGCCACAATGCAGTGATAGTGCTCGTTGGCCTTCTTGGCCTCCCAGCACCTTCTTTCGCCCTGAAGGTTGGCATCCACTGGCAGAGCTCGAGTTTTACGTCACCAGGAGAGCCACAGAGGTATTTGATTGCCAGCTTTCCAAAGGATTCGAAGATTAGCTACGCAAGGCTTCCAGATCCGACTTGGCGGCCGCTGGTCATTCGCAATCTGTCGAATCCATCCGTGCTTGCGGTGGACGAGCAAAACAGACGGCTCTTTGTTGCTGACCAAACTGCGAACCAGATCTGGTGGTATCAACTTCAGGTGTCGGAGCCCAGCAAGTTCTTGATGACGGATGGTGTACAGCGGGTGGCCGTCACAAATATTGTGGCCAAGGGCCTTGCAGTGAGCCAGGCCGGAGATCTATTCATTGCTGGACGTGTTCTCGCAGTCGGGCAAGGTGGGCGAAGTGCCATCTACAAGCAGGAGGCAGCAGCTTTTGAATTGGGCGAGGTGCCGTCCCCACAACAGCTTTGGACTGCAGGTGATGGCAGTTGGCTTCCAAAGATACTTGAGACGGGTCAGCCTTCCATGTCAGAGCCAATGAGTCCATCCACTCCTGAAATCTACCAGCCTGGTGCTGTAGCGATTGATATGTTCACAGTATATTGGGGCAACATGATCAAAGGCAATGCCAGTGCCCTTGCCTCAGGCCCGGCCACCGTTCCAATGCCTCGACCCGGTGCTGCGGCACCGAAACTCAAGGCTGGAGCTCGAGCACTGGCCAACAGCTTTGAGTCTGTGACAGGCCTTGCCATGACCTCGGCTGGTATGTTCTTCGCCGGTCGGCCAACAGAGGGCCTTCCTGGGATCTTTGCTTTGCCAAATCGGGATGTCAGCTCTGGGTGCAGTGAGGATGACCATTGCGTCCGGCGTGTGGCACAGATTGGGAATCCCTTATCTTTATGTTGGGATGGTGACTCCACACTCTTCATAGCCGATGGCGGTCGTGGAGCAGTTGTGTCCCTGCCATCAGCAACAGCCTCCCGACATGATGTGGAGAAGGTGGCAGATGCACGGGGTGTGCGAGCTGTTGCAATACTGTCCGTCCCAAATGCAGCGACTCAGATGACATCTCTATGGATGGCGGTGGTGCTTTCTATAGCTAGTCTTTGGTGAGCAGTGAGCCAAACCGCGAGCTATGCAGGAACAAAAAGATCCGTTCAATCGGTTCGCTCTGCTTTGCTCACACCACTGGGTCATACCCAAACAATGAACGAAAACAAGTGGAGCTTGAGAGCGAAAACGGAGCTAGTGATACTTATCGACAGGACAAGGTGTGCGAAAACGGCCTTTCTTACACCGCCGTTTGCCAAGGAACGCTCCTGCACAGACTGCCAGCCAGACAACACCTTGCTGGGGACTGAGATGGTCTCAACAAAAGCTTCTTGTCACTCGTAGCTACTTGTTACTTGCTCCTAGTAGCAAGGCCAGGAGCCCCTAGTAGCGTCCTTGCTCCTAGTAGCGATGCCAGGAGCCCCTAGTAGCGAACATTGTTCCTAGCTGTTCCGTTCCGAAAACGACGGCGACGTTCTGTTCTCTCTCGCGACACGACTGACTCGTGCAGGTCCTGCAGTGAAGGATTTTGCTACTGCAAGCAGGGGTTCTGCTGGCGAAGTGGATGCCTTTTGTTTTTCCGGCACGGCGTAGACTGGAATTTGACAAAAGTATGACTAAGATCAATGTTTCGACGCTCACTTCTCTATGCTTTTCGTGGGAACACTGCAAAATGTCCCACGCCCACATTTGACCAACCAGACCGAAGCCTCAAGGTGTGTCTTTAAGGGAAAGGACTCCCTTACTAGTAGTAACAGGTG